CCCCAAAACCCCAAAACCCCAAAACCCCAAAACCCCTAGAGCAAATCCTCAAATTGAAACTCAAATTCAAATTTAGACTCAAATCAGAGACAGAACCTTTTAGGACTTCCCAAAAGGATTAGTAACAACAGGCCTTGGCTTTCCACTTGGATCAAGCTTGGGTTTCACCTTTGAATCAGGATTTGAGCTTTTCTTGAAAGGATTTATGTCATCTTTACGATTTGGATTATTTAATCTTGAATTTGTAAAAGGATTTTGAGGCTTCTTAGGCGCCTCTGGTTCTAATGACACCTTTTTGTCCGCCTTTGGGGTTTCCAAATCAGCCTAGCATTGTGATAAATATCTTACTTTAGATTTAGTTCCAATGTTCTCATCTGCAGTTTCAGGAATATTCTCAAGGACAGTCTTGACCTCTTTTACCTTAGTCCCAAAATTTTTAGGCGGCATTCCAATATTCTGAGTAGACCCTGCAGAAACTTTCGCTTGGGGATCTGCCTGAGGCTGAGGGATTCCGAAGGAAATGGTCTTAGCAAGCGGGATCTGGCTGTAAATAAAGATTTAGAGAGGAGCTAGCATAGTAATACTTGAATGGGGAATAATGAATCTGTAGATACTTACTCACCACTGGGTATCTGCTCCTCTAGTTGATCAAAATTTTCTAAAATTTGGCTGAATCCGTACCGATATCTGCTTCAATCTCTAAAAGCTCTTTTTCATCAAGCTCTATTGTCCCTTTATGTTCAGGTTTTTCAACAGTTGATGGAGGGTCAGCCTTGATTTCCTTAGAAGCTGGGCTAGGAGCCTGTACAGGGTCTAGAGTTGGAGCAGGCTCTGTAGCAGCAGGGTCTGAAAGGGAAGATGGTTTATCTAGACGATCTTCAAAAGCAGATTTTATAAGAAGCTATTGAGAATAAGAAATTTTGAGACTTACTTCTGGCTGGACAGACTTATTTTGGTATTTATCTCCTATTAGTATAGGTTTTAGAGGACCTTTGAGAGTGTAAAATTGAATTTAGATACAAGCTGTTTTTTGGATCAATATATTTAGAATTTTAGAAGTTGAGTTATAAGAGATTCTTTGATGCTAAACTTACATAGAATTGAAAGAGTACCTAAAATTTAGATTTAAATTACTTAGTTTATTTGAATGCTTCATGAATTTTTGGGCAGATTTCAGGGGGACCTGCAACTGGAATTTCATATTCACAAGGAATAAATTTTGGTTCACTATGCTTCTGTTGAGTCTCAGGCTCAGGAATTGTTTTAGAACCATGTAAATTAGGAAAATTATCATTTTCTTTTCCTATGAAATGGCCTCTATCATAGCTAAAAGTAATAATTTCAAGTTACTTTTCGTTATTTTTCAGTTTGAATCTCATCATTTTTATTTATAAAATATCTTAAAAGGGGTTTTGGGGTTTTGGGGTTTTGGGG